TTGCAGCACCTGCCTCATGAGAGGCATTGTATCATAGTAGGTAGAAACTGGAATCAAGAATATTTGGGTTTCCATTCTGCCTCTTATATGTACAGGCTGTGTGACCCAGGACAAGTCATGACTTTTCACTGCCCCAGACAGCAGACTCGATGCAAAGACCAGGTGTATACCTGCACTAATGTCAGTGCTATCACAGGTCTGGCTTAAAACTCCGTCACCTTAGATGTCATCTCTTTGGAGACCAGGACTCTCTCTTACGCCTCCAAACTATGATGTTACCTTCATCCTCCTACCCTGTGGGTCCAAAGGACAGGCTTCCTTTTGAGGACTGCTCAAGGAAACTAACATGGCTCTTCCCTCTCGCCTTCTCCTCCCCCTCAGGCAGAGTGGAGGGAAGAAGTGAAGTTGCATTTTGAAAAGATCAAATCAGAAGGGACTTGTCTACACCGGCTAGAGGAAGAGCTGGTGACTCGAAGGAGAGAGGAACTCAGGTGTGGGGACAGAAGGGGAACACAAAAAGGGGTGGCCCAAGGAAATGACTGTTCCTATGGAAGTCACCCAAGGTGCAGGGGTACAGGGTACCCTCAGTCCCAGCCCCTTAAGATACAACCAAATATCCAGCCCATTCCCAGAAACATTGGGTAAGGGGAGACACGGGCAGTCGTCATATCATCCCTGTCAACTTTGATTAGACATGCCCTGGACATCCGGGAACACTATGAACGGAAGCTGGAACGTGCCAATAACCTGTACATGGAACTCAATGCACTGATGCTGCAGCTAGAACTCAAGGAGAGGGAGCTGCTGAGGTAATCCACAACCAGGCCCTCCTCCTCCTCCTACTGGGCTCTGCCCTTACCCCTCTACCAGACCCAACTCTGGTATGAACTTCTTGGCTCCCCTGCTGCCCCAATTCCTAGTCCCTGGTGGGTCCCTGCTGAGCCCATGTTCTCATGTGCCTAGCTGAGTGGGTGCCTGGATTCTTAGGCGGGAGCAGGCCTTGGAAAGAAGATGCCCTGGGCTCCTGAAACCACACCCTCCCCGAGGCCTTCTGCATGGCAACACTGTGGAGAAGCTCATCAAGAAGAGGAATGTTCCACAGAAGCTGTCACCTCACAGCAAGAGGTGGGGCCTGAATTATGGAGACAGGGGGGTAAAGGTTATCTCAAGTTTAAAAAGCTTGGTAGATGGAAGGCAGGTACCAAGATGGGGCTAGGGAATTCAGAACCCTGAACGTGGAATGTCCTTGACAGATGCCAGAGGTCACTAGGTTGATGAATATCCTACTAGTTGTAGTGTCTTGGTAGCAAACCCTTGGCATGCTTGACCCTCTCTCCTCTCCCCTTCCTTAACCTTCCCTATTTTCTCTTCCCCTTAGGCCAGATATCCTCAAAACGGAGTCCTTGCTCCCCAAGTTAGATGCAGCCTTGAGTAGTGTTGGGCTCCCTGGTTGCCCTAAAGGGCCCCCCTCTCCAGGACGGAGTCGTCGTGGCAAAACTCGTCACCGAAAATCCAGCTCCAAGGGCAGCTGTGGTGACCTGCTTGGGTTTCGGGCATCTGTACCTAGTCCTGAACCTGGGGGGCCAGCAAATCCAGGGAGTTTAGGAGGGGGACCCTCAGCTTGGGAGGTCTGCCCACCTGCCCTTCGGGGCCTCCATCATGACCTCCTCCTCAAAAAGATGTCATCTTCTTCCCCTGACCTGTTATCAGCTGCACTGGGAGCCCGAGGCCGAGGGGCAGGAGGGGGATCTATGGAACCCAGCTCTCCCCCTCCTGCCCAGGAAGACACCCCTCCTAGTGAGGGATCAGCTCCTGGTTCTACCAGCCCAGATTCACCCGGGGGAGCCAAAGGGGAACCACCTCCAGCAGGGGGCCAGGGTGAAGCTTCAGGGCTGCTGGGTTCTAGCAGGGAGGGAACTGCTGGAAGAGGAAGCAGGGCTGGTGCCCAGCACCTGACCCCTGCTGCGCTGCTGTACCGAGCTGCTGTCACTAGAAGCCAGGTGAGGTGTGGGCAAAGGGTCTGGAGCAACCACTTCCTGTTGCCCCTCAACCCCTTCTCATCCATGTATTCAGTTATCCCAAGTCCCAGGTGGCATACAGCTCCACACTTCTTGATCTCCCTTTCATTTCCCTACCCCTGCCATGACACCTTCCCAAGTTGAGAGACTCTCACCTCAACCTCTGGTCCATATCCTCAATGGGGTCCTTTTTCCTCCCCCAAAGAAACGCGGTGTATCCTCAGAGGAAGAGGAAGGAGAGGTAGATAGTGAAGTGGAATTGCCCACAAGGCAAAGGTGAGTATGAAGTACTAAAGCCCAAGAGCAACGACAGTCCGGTTAATTGCTGACCTGCGCAAAAATGCCCTCAATCCAATCCTACTCCATCCATTTTTCTGGTTCACAGGTGGCCACAAGGCCTGAACAAACGGCAATCACTATCCACCTTCAGCTCAGAAAACTTGTCTGATGCAGAGGAAGGTACAGCTAGTGAACCGTCACCCAGTGGCACCCCAGAGGTGGGCAGTACCAACACAGATGAGCGGCCTGATGAGAGGTCAGATGACATGTGCTCTCAGGGCTCTGAGATCCCACTAGACCCACCTGCTCCAGATGGAGCCCTGGGACATGAACCTGGCTCCCAGCCCAGTCCACAGGAGGTGCAAAATCAAGCCCTACTCAGAAGGGAACAGGTGCGATGTGAACAGGGCAATATGGGGAAAGGGGAGTGGGCAGTTTAGGGGCATCCTGAGAAAATCAGTTGTGATACTAAGTATCAGAAATGGCTATAAACTTAGTAGATGGGACCATCCAGCATTAACAGGAGACTGAAGAACAGAAATCGAGAAGATCCTCTTGGAAAGTAGAAGACAGGGATGAAAAAGATCAGGCACAAGAATGCTAAGGGGTGGTGAATCTAAATCAAGGCTGGACCCGAGGATGCAGGCCAGATTACAGATGCTGATGGGACTCCAACTATGGAAAAAAAAAAATAGACTTCAAGCCCCAGGATTCTCTCTCTGAACCTTTTAACTCTCCTCTCTCCCAGGGCATCCTCAACTCTGAGGACTCAGACTGCGATAGCACGGAACTGGATAACTCAGGCAGTGCTGATGCCCTGCAGCCCCCTGCCTCCCTCCCTCCGTGAATGCCACCCTCGCCCAATGTAGAGAGAAATATTTATATAAATTATATATATATTCAACACATATTCAACAGAGAAAAAGCAGGGCTGTTCCAGCCTGACATCAGGATTATGGTCGCTTCCCCCCTACCAACATCCATCTGAACTTGGGGGAGACTGGTATCTATGGGGATAGGCTCAACCTAGGAACCTCCCTCGCCCACTTCCATGGTCAGCTGGCTGTCTCTGGGGTAGAAGAAAACCTGTTATTCCCCCCCTCTTTAGCCCCACCCTATCCCAAAAGTCTTGAGGGTAGGGGCAGGGCAACTGCCTAACACTGCACTTTTTTTTGTTGTTGTTTTATTACCCTGTTTACAAATTTTGCACTTGGGAGGAGAGAGGCCAGGGTTGAGCTGAGTCCTCTCCTCTGGGGCTTCTCAGGTGACTATTCACCCTCCCTCCCTTTTTTAAAGCCCCTCCCTCTCTCACTGGCTAAAGGACTCAGGAGGAAAGAGAGGTAATAGAAAGTATATGATGATGGCTCAGGCCAGGAAAATGGAAATTATAGGGTCCTCTGTACCCAGTCTACCTGCCTTTTGGGGGTGGGGACTATGTCACTGTTGTAACCCCTGTAAGATACCTTGAAATATAATCAATCCATGCAGGCTCAGCTGTTGAGTTTTCTTGTCAAGTGGGAGAAGGGCTACAGAGTGAAGGAATACATAATTGGGGGGAGGGGAATGAGTGCCTTATGAAATGTGCAAAGCTGAAGACAGCAGAACCTGAAAAATTCCTCCCTAATCCAGCACTGCAATCAATTCTGATCTAGGTTTCTTAAAATGCCAATATTCCACACCATCTTTTGTCACAAGGCATCATGGAAAAATCTCAGAGAAACTAAAATGGGTATCTCTATAACTGACTAGGTTTTCTCATTTGGAAAGAATCCATGGCAGTTGCAGGGAAGGAGACTTAAGCAATCCGTTCAGAAATAACTGTATCCTAACTATGCTGTGTCAGTCCCACTACTCAGGTAACCTCAGTTTCATGCCCAAGCAACAGGTACATCATCTTCCCACCAGTGGAAAGATTAAACAGAATAGAAGATTGGAGAGGTAGGGAAGGCTGCTTCCCAGTGACCCAAACGAATGCAACTTCTACTTCCCTTCTTATTTTTAGGTCTAGTTTCCAAAGTAAATCTCTGGCACAACAAAGGTTTAACCAGGGAGTCAAGTACTACGACCTATGGTGGTTCTCATAGCCTTTCTTAGGGAATGAAACACACATGATTTCTTCCCACTACCAACTCAAAAAACAACTAAGACTAAGGTTAGACAGGAAGGAGATCAAGAATCCTGATCAACAGGCTTTGGAGACCTAAGTCTGAGACAAAACACAAGAGATGAAGGCAACATTCTTAGTTGGGGAAGGGCTCTATATTCCAATCCTCAATGACTGGGATTCCGGATCCCACAGTGATTCAAGTGAGAGGGACACAGACAGAAGGGAGTTAACAGGAATAAAACCCACATGAAGCACCGTGGCATCCAGTTTCTATTCACAAGGAAAAAGCTCCAGTCCATCTTTTAATTTTTTTTTGAAAAATTCCTGACATTACAGAACTAAACTGAAATGTATTAATATTCCACTCTTACATTTCAATGACAAAAACAGAAAAAAAAATTCATGAGCCCAAAAAAAAACAAAAAAAAAAAAAAAACCAAAACAAAAAAAAAAACCAAAAACAAAACAAAAAATCAAAAACAAGAAAAAAAACAGGGAGAAGCTTATAAAACTAAATATGGTTCTCAGCGTTAACGGCTGAACAGAGAAAGGAATTAAAACGCTGTAATTAAAAAAATCACGAGTGGATGATAAAGTTGTGTAGAAACTGAAAATTTACAAACTATTTAAAACCTGGAATCGCTGACTGTTCAGAAACTACACAGATGGATCATGGGTGGTGAACAGCAGAAGGGGGTTATGGGTGAGTCTGCATTGTTCTAGCTGCTCCCCATGCCACCCGTCTCCGAGGAAAGCCTGCAACACAGAAATAGACAAAGCTTATAATCAGTTTTTCCTTTTTTACCCAATAACCCCCACCTTTTTCCCAAATCCTCCTGGGACACGTATGTGTAATTATGTTTGAAAGGAAGAGGTCAAAGGAAAAAGGCCTACAACCAAATTACCTGAAAATTAAGAGCTAGTGAGTTTATAGCCTCCTGAGTTTTTATGCCAACTCAAATCACTTAAGTAGCACCTGTGTCTTAGATAACTGAACCACAGGAGCTGATGATCTTGAAAAAATTTTTGGGCTTTTGATTTCCAGAACATAAATTTTTGTAGCCAAAGTAGCACAGAAAAGGACCAGTAGGATTGATGAGAAATAGAACTTGAAATCAAGAATTACCATTATCTATACCTTCTAGGTTTAGATATTAAGGTATGAAACAGTACTGATCAAAAGAATATGGTCCAAATAGGTTTTCCCTTAGGCTGCCTTCCCAGTTCCACAGTTGTGATTACTCTTCTCAGACACAACACCTCTCTCTCTCTCTCCACTGCAACAGATTTACCAATTATATCTAGTCACTATGCAGTTTATAATCCAACTGATATGACATTCTGGGTGTTAAGAAGTAAACAAATTGAAATTAAGGATTTGGTAACAGGCACTGTATAATGCATGCACTTTTGGGAACGTTTGAATTGATTAGGAGTCTGGCTAAGGCAACCCTTCTTTAGACACTGCTATATATGATCAACATATAAAGGCCAGTTTAGGAAAGAAGCATTACAATGAAAAATAGTAAAAGGAAAGGGCCCTGATCCACAAGGCTCTGAGCAAAAACCGGCCATATTTTAATTCAGAGACAGCAAGGGAAGACAAAAAAGGGGGGGAGGGGATTTGGTGCAATTGAGGTCAGTTAAAACTGCTAGCGAAGGATGAAAGCAGGGGGGGGTTCAGAGGAAGAAACTGTCGGATGTGGCTCGGATCCAAGGCAGAAGACAGGCTAAAGCTATTGGAAGAGAATGGATGGAATGGAAGCATAAAAGCAACATTGGTCCCAAGGTCTCAGCAGGATGAGCTGGGCCACTGGCCCAAGCCCCCACAGAGCCCAAGCTGTCCCCTTCTTACTGTAGGGGTGAGATTAGGAAAGGATGTGAGGGAAAGCAGCCATAACCCAACAGAGCCTTTTACGTTATCTGCCAATACTAAACTATAGAAAAGTGCCACTATTAGAGTGACCACATGGGGGCACCCCAAGACTCTAATTTCTATATGAAAAGGAGAGCAATGTCCCGAAAACCTCCACATTACCTCTCAATTACCTTTAATTTTTTCTTAGATCCCTCAAGGATCTAAAAGTCCCACTCAATAAATAAGCAGATTAAAAATAGAAGCAGAGGCAGGGACTAGAAGGAGAGAAGGTAGTGGTATCAGAATGCCACAGCACCAAGGACAGAATACACCAAGAAAGCAGGGATATAAGGAAGAGAGGAAATCCATTCCTCTATTATATTTTCTAAAAATATCTTCAACCGGGGAACTGGAATAGATTGCCTCGTGGTTGCACCCAAGGACCCACCCTTCCCCCCACCTCCAGGCCAAACCCACTCAGGACACATGCTGAGTACATAGGCTCATATCCTGGACTACTGAGACTATATATATATATATAAATGGAATGGAGAAAATGAAAAATGGCCAACAGGATTACAAGCAATAAATTTAATTGATTATGAAGCTAAACTGGAGAGGGAAGTCAATCTGTTCCTTCTCAAACTTCACTCTCTCCAATGCACCAGGTCTACTACTTACCCTCCCAGTATCTTTTAAAGCTAACTGCACATTTCCTAGGTTGAACCAACCAAAAATGGATGAATATTTTAAAAAAATAAGTGAGACAGAATTCGTAATAAAAGAATCCAATGATAGTCTAATATCTCTAACTCTCATTTTCTATTGATTCAATTTTCCCAGTCCCATTTTTGACAAATAACTACTTACATGGACTAATGACCTCATGTCTGTGTCCACAGGGTTTTCCTCAGTACGATGAGGGGCTTAAATCACTGAAATCTTTTTTTCTCTCTAATATTCTCCATGGGTTTTTCCCCTCAAGTTCTGTTGTTGTTGGAGGGGGTGGGTCAAAGTGGAATACCCATTGTGAGTTTAGAAAAAAAGGACAGTAGACTAATTAAGCCAGTATGCTCAAAGACCTCTAAAATTATGGGAAGCCAAAGGACACTCAACAAAAATATACCTCATAGGATGACCACCATCCCTGCTACAACAAAAGAATGGAAACTACACCAGCATTTTATCAATTTTAAGAGGGACAGATAAGGAAAGGAAGCTCTTTGACAATACAGGGAATAAGAATATATACTACCACAGGACAACCCCTCCTATCTCAAACCCCACCATGGATAAAGTATGAAACCAGACAACAAGAAAAGGGCTTAGGGGTATACACACACCTAATTTTCAGGTCAACACAAGGGCCCCTCCCCACCATTTGCCCCTTAACAGCACATTGATAACTAACACGATTCTCACTGTGGCAATTTTATTACAGCTACACAAAGTTATTTCCAGCCAAGTGGCCTGCTAAGCAACTTAACTAAGAAAGAATTAAAAAAAAAGTTCAACGGAGTAGCCTTTATTCATTAAACACAGACCCTAACACATTGTCATATTGCAAGGCAAAAAAAGCTACAGAAAGGGGGATGGAAAAAGGGAAGGAGAGAGGGAGAGAAGAGTTGGGGAAGGGGGAGGGAAGGGAGGAAGCAACAGCTACGGCTCTAGATAAGGAATTCAACAAATCACAGACTCTGAAACAGGCAAACGCTCAGCTCAACTGGCCTGGACCTAAGCAAAGAATCTCCCCCCCACCCCTTTCCCCCACAAAAGCACCAGGAAGGTCACAAGCTCACAATTATTTGGTTTTCACCAATGTTAACACAAAGGAAAAAAAAAACAAAGCCCAGAAACACTTTTGAAGGGATGCCCCAGAAATCTGCCATCAGTAGGGAGAAAATCTCTGTTTCTCAGCTTTCAGTTTGTTAGTTACGCATGGCACGGCAGAGGTGGTGGTGGTGGCAGCCGAAGCCCCCGGACCCTTAGCAGCAGACACAACATTTAGAGCCAGGAGAGGGATGGGTTTCATGCCAAGCAGACTGGAGACACAAGGGGCGGTCGGAAGAGGGTTGGGGAGGCTGGAGGGTGCGTCGGAGGTCCCCGCTGTGGCGAGCGAGGGGGTGGTGGTGGAGGAGGAAGAAGAAGAAGAAGGGGTGGAGGGTTGAGAGAGGTTGATGCTGAGGTGATCAGGGATCGTGACGGAGGCTGCCTGGGAGGAGGGTTTAGCGTTTTCTAAACTGTAACAGAGGAAAAAAAAGGAACAAAAAAAAACTGGGTGGGTGGAAGGGAAGACCACAAAAAAAAAAGTACAGGACAACGGCTTCAGTCATCAGTAAGTGCCTCTGGCTGTCAAACAGGAGGGTCTCAAAACCAGCAATTTTGCTAACTACATTATATTCGTAGCCCAATCTCCACCCACACAACCCCCATCCCCCACCATTTCTGTCTTTAGGATTTTTGCTTTCTAGTGTTGCCAAAACCTGAGCACCTCAGATTTGCTGCAGACTAGAAGCAGCACACATTCACTGGCTATTATTCCCCACCCCCACCCTCAAAGACAAGTAAGTGACCACCTAAAAAGGGGAGTTGGATATTTGAGATCAACATCCCTCCCCCTCAAGGCATTAATATTGAGCCCTTTAAGAGTCAATTCAACTATTCATATCAACACAAGGAAATAAATTTGTGGCTCATTTTAAAATCAATGTGACTTTAGGAAGCATTATTTATTCTCTTATCTACTTTCTTAATTGTAGAGCCATTAAAAAAATATACACCAAGGTAGTGAGATCCTAAATGTGCTTGTCATCTAGACAGCAGGGATGAAACCCAGCCCAGCCCATTATTTTACTCATAAGTCACTAAGCAGATAAGTGTTTCCTAATTCCAAAATTCAGTAAAGACAGTAGCACTTTGAAAGGAGTGTTAATGAAGTATTATCACAATTTTTCTTGATTCGAAGCAAGAAAAGTAGCAGCAAGATTAAGAGAAGGCTTAGTATTATTATTATTTCTATTAACACAATGCTGAAGCCCTGCAAAAAGATGAGAAAAGAACTGATCCCTGCTAAAAAAAAAAAAAAAAAAAAAAAAAGTCTGTGTAGGAAGGAAGGCAACTCCAAGCATAGCTCATCCTCCCCAAACTAGAAATTTCCCGTAATTTTTTTTCCACATAGTCTGATAAGAAATCAAAGGTAAGCATCTAAGCAAGGGAGCCAGGACTCCCTACCACCTGAAATTCTTAATTAAAAGGGAGAAGGGTAGGAGAGAAAAGGAAGGCATACCCTTAAGTAATACCCTCAAACTACTGTGGTGCAATTGAGGTAGAAAGGTTAAGCTTTAATGGGATCTACTCTCACTCTTCAAAACTGAGTAAATACTATCTATTCAACAGGATGACCTAATTTGAGCTATAGCAGGGAAAAATAGGTATTATTAAAATGCACCACTCTGTCCAGTAAGAGAGCCAGCACAGAGCAAGCACTTGAGTATCTGCAAACTAGCTACATTCATAGCTAGCTTGCTAAAGGCAAAATAAAACAAAGTAAAATTACTTTCAGAATTCAACGAATGCTCAAAATTTGCCCCTCTCAGAAATAAACCTCTAACTTAATAAGCAGCCTCTCTATGCTCTACCATTTCATAGTGAATTAAATGATATGCATGAATATGAAGACTGAATAAAAGACCCTATATAATATTCAAACCATCCATTCTGCACATACCCAAATATGCTCACTCTTAAAAGACCCCACATTTTCTATCCAAAAAACCCTATAATATTGCCCACCATCATTTGAAGAAAAAAAAAAGTGAGCAGGGACAGAAGGCAGAAAGTCACTAGCCACTGACCTATAAGTAATGAATTCAGGAAAGGTAAGAAATCCAGAGTACTGGCTGGCCACAAAATTTATGATCAAATCCAGGATCAGGAAAGCAATGACACAAAGATACTGTCAGTTCCCTTCCCCTTGGGTTAAACAGGAAATAACTGTGAACAAGACTAAACTCCCAATGTGCAGCCCCTTCTTTTGCTGGGTTTCGTTTTGATTGGGGTGAGGGGGGTGGCGCAGGGAATGGATGGTGTTTCAGAAAGAACTAAGAATTTACATACCCTTGAGGAAGGAAAAAGGATAGAAAATGGAGGCAAAACAGAACCAAAACATAAAATGGGGAGAGCAGCCTAAGGCATTGAGACAAACATCTATGCTACAGATCACTTGGCTAAACATGAAAAGGGATAAAAATTCATATTCCCCCCTGCCCCATGCTGTTCAGGAAACCAAGACAGTTCTATTCTAAGGGGGCCCCTCTGACTCAATCATCCAGTCCTATCTTTGTCATAGGCATCCCCTTGTCTCCAGTCTAAGCTGAGTCCCACATGCTCCAAATAACGAGTTTAGTTTTAAGACATGTGGTGGTCTTTGTTCACAATGGCTCTATGGAAGGGATCTACCAGTGGTTTAAGGTCTTAATCATAAGCTTAAAAGACAACATCACCTAAAGAAGGAAAATGGAAATTGCTTCTTCTAGTCCTACCATTTTTTTAGTAGCCACAAAAGCTTATTTACTAAAGCAAAGTAGCATTACTTGATTTCAATAAAGTCAAGGAAAGAATCAAAGGCACATGACTAGATAGAAAAGGAGTTAAAAAAAAAAAGATGCTCTTAGAACATTCCTGTCTAAGTGTGTCCTACCTGAATCAATTGAACATACTTGTGTAATCTCATACTATCATTAAATAACTTTGAGCTTCAGTCCTCAGTCAACAAATGTTCTTTATGCCTGTCACATCCCATTTTCCTCCTTAACTCAATTACAGAACATTTGTGAACTTTATTCCCTTAATTGTTATCTGAAAAGAGAGACCACAAACAGCAACCATGATAGCAGCCAGGATAGCTAGTCTTGGTAATTTTAACATGTCATGTTCATTCTGGTTAAACTATTATAATTAACAAGAGACAAGGTGGGAACCTTATACCACAGCTATACTACTCTTCTCTCTTCTGCTTGGTCCCCAAATTAGCTATGTCTCATGTTATTACGTGTCTTTGTTGAACCAAAGTACCAAGGTTCAGTACACAGCTCATCCTGCTCAGGCCAATCCCTTTTAATATATGAATAGGAGGGAAAGGAACCTAAGCAACACATCCAGAGAGAAAAGAATGTGGCTTTAGTTTAGGACCAGGGATAGCAGCTCCCTGTTTCCTTGTACCTCAAAAGCACCTTCCAAATTAATAAACTATCAAAGTTAAGAGTCCTTAACCCCAAGCATAATGTGCACAACACACACATCCCAATCAGTAAATCATCAAATTAGGAGAACTCTTACCTGACATTGATTAGATACTGGGCCAGGCTAATGCTGGCAGCAGATCCAGTGATGGTAACCTGCCTATCAGTAGATCCTTCCACTGGATTGGCAATTTTGATCTGAGCCCCAGACATCTGACGAATCTCATTGATTTTGGCGCCTTGACGCCCGATTATGCAGCCAATTAACTTGGGGACAGGGTGGGAAAAGGGAGGGGAGAGAAAGAAAAAGGCAAACCAAATTAAGGATAGCTCCATGCCCTATTCACCCAACTCAACACCAGTAACACTGTAGGTGCATAATAAATCCTTGATTAGGGGTGGGGTGGTATTGTTAACCATATGCTTCTAATCAGAAAATCAGAACTTTTCTGTTATTAGTCCCTTATCTCCCCTTTTCTTTCCCACTTAATGACTTGAGAGGCAAGTAGCCCCCAGGGCTTTTAATGTGTATGTATGTATGTGTATGTATTGATACACATCCACACACATATACAGATCTTACTATATATAGCTAGATCCACACCTACATATATCTACATATCTAAGCTGAAAATTATACCATAGAAATGTAGGAGTCTTAGGCTGAGTTGCAGTTTAAGCCCCCACCCACCAATGCTTTGACCACATACCAACCCTATCTATATCAATTCTACAGGCGTCAGGTGTTTTAATAACAGCTCAAAAGACTGTGCATCTAGTGAGAAGCACAAAAAAGAGGGAAAAAAATTCAATTCTACCTAGTGTCTCAGTACCCAGTTTAATTACCAAAAAAAAAAATCTACATTTAGAATTCACAGATGACTTTTGCCTTTGGTTTTAGGAGCACAGGAGTCCTACTTAGGATGAACAATTTCCATTTAGCTTGCAATTTTTCTACATTTAAATTGGCCTTACAGCCCATTCTAACTTGCCATAATTTCTTTATTACCCCCAACTCATCTAATGACTCCCACTATCTACCAAATAAACTTACGTCATTTGGAATGGTGAGTTCATGAGAAGTAGTCTGAGCAGATGCATCCAAACCTGCTAAAAGACAGAAGAGACCAGGGAAAATTTAATGCACAGTAGAGCAGGCTCCCACTCTGTAGCATATTAACCTTAATAGGAAACAGAACAGACCACAAAACCCAGCATTGACTGTTGGAATTCAGGACTACCTTGGTGAGGCTCCCAAGGAGGAAGAAAAGGTAGATAATGCTGTAAGGGCTTCCTCCACACGAACCCTTCCCCTCAAAGAGGATGCCTCATTTATCACCTTCCTTTCAAACCAGGCCTGCAGCTTAGAGAGGGTGCAGGAGACCCTTATACAGGACCATTATTAACACCAGGCTTTGTCTGGAAAACTTCAGCTACCCTCCCACTCCATCAGCAACCACAGTTGGTGTGTTCCAACTCTGCCAATCTTACCCGAGGCCTACTGACACCAGTACCAACAATACCAGGCTAGTTATCAGGAAGCCAGGGTTCTGCTTGGCACACATGCAGAGTTTCATTTTAAGTACAACCACACCAGTAACACACCCCAGTTTAGCCTAGACAAGCTCAAAAGGATAAAAACTGGCAGTCAGGTAAGGGGAATTAAGGCAGGGGTTTCTCTAGATTCTCCCCATAGAAAATGGTCAATTTCTTTTCTTCTTTTTGTTTTCTTTAAAAACCAAGTTTTCCGCCCCCAGCAAGAATCCCATTCCCCAGCAATTTCAGAAAGGAGCAGAGGACCTAGACTAAACAAACCAGTCCAACCGATTAACCTTTCCAGCCCCATCCTGCTCTCAGATGTGGCTGCTTGTCTCTACAGGTTTTAAAAGGGGGAGGAGGACCAGATCCATCAAGGGACCTCAGGGCTTCAGGCCCACACCAATGCTCTCTCAGCTCCTTTGCCATGTGAAGGTCGCTGGTATGGTTTGTGGGCAGTGAAACAAAAAAGACTCCAACCAGTTTATTAATATAACAGTAGAATACTACAGATTTTTTTTAATCATTACCCCAATAGCCTTTCACCTCTGGAGAGCTGGATTCAATGCCTGTTAAGATACAAGTGAAAATGAGTTTGGTGGTCTCGTCCTAATCCCTAAGGGACAATTCATCCTTATTATTATAAAAAACTCTACACAATTTGGCACAATGGATAGTCTCTACCCAGGTCTAGGAATAGCTGGTGGAGAGAAAGGGGGTGCCAGTCAGATCCAGGAGGCAGCAATCAGAATGGGTGAGAAGAAAGTCAGCCTACCCTGGGCCTGACAAGCACTCCCAGCCCTCCCCCCCAACCTTCCAGGGCCATTTTAAAACAACTCACCCCAAAAGAAAACCATGTTTAAAAAATAGACATTACCTCCTGGGGTCTAGACACACTAGACAGGCTTTAAAAGCAGCAGGATGCCTGGTATCGCAGTTTTGGTTTTTGTTTTTTATTAGAGACAAGCTGGGGCCTTGGGGCCTGGCCTCTGGCTTGCAATATACCTTACAGAACAAATACTGAGGTATCCATACCACTGAATCCGGTGTTGCCATGCGTCATGGGAAAGTGAGACTGTTGCATTGCCAACTGGTGCAGCTTGGTCAACTGGAGAAGAAAGGAGAGAAATAACAGGTTTAAAAAAAGTAACAATGCAGGACTCAAATCAAAGAGTGCTTATTATAGTTAAGAAATAGAGGAATACTCAACCCACAAAAATTGTCAAATATCTCCCCCAACACAATCCACCACTAAAAATGGGAAGCTTAAGTAATTCCTGGGGATGGGCACTCTCTTGGAATAGGGAAGGGAGGATTTGAAAAAGGGAAGAGAAGAAACAAGCTTAAGTTATATGATAAGCAGGAGCACCCACCCCACACCCACTCTTTTGGGTGCTACTCCACGGAGGCCTCTGCAGTCAGTGCAACAGTTGCCCCAGGGACAAGCACACACACAAACTAGGAAAACAAACTGTGCAGTTGGGTACTAAGGAAAACACACCATGCAGGACTCTGTCAGTACTGGGAAGAACGGAGGGAAGTTAGAGGGCAGGGAGACTGTAAGGAGGGGAGATTAAGAAAAGAAACCAAATTATGTTTGGCATTAGCCCACCCACTTCTCAAGAACAATTCCAAAAAGCTACCTCCCTCCTCTTCTACATAAAGCTACCCTGCAGCTGCTGCAAACAATCCCTCCATATCTACTTTCCCCTCACAGGGCTTCCTACTAAAAGAATACCAATTTCTCAATTCCCCAAGGCTAATGCTCAGCTCCTAAAGGATTAGTAAGGGTGAAGGAAGAATGTAGGAGGAAATGCCCAAATCTGAACACCAGAATCTCTGTACAGCACTTTGATTTCCCAATTTAATGGAGGAGCTGAAATAGGAAATTTCAGGTTCCTGTCCCATCCCTAACAATTAATAAGTACCTTCGACCCACCATCCCAAGACTCTGGGAATAGTCTGGTCCCACCCCCACCACCAGAAATAGAAAGAGGGCTACATGCGAAGAGTTTGTCAAGGAAAGACAGAGGAAGGGATCCCAGCCCACTACATCAGTCAAAACGTGCTGTGCCCTGAGAGAACAATGACAATTTATCATGGTGTGTCTGCTTTGTTTTCTCTTTAACAGAGGGCACTAGAACCAGATGGGGTTAAGTACAAGTTGTGCATCTTTGGGCTGCACCTTTCAGGTGGGTACAAATGCCAACAGGGAAGAGGAGGTGGCATAATACCCTGATGTGATTTCTTAAATTATTATTTAAGGACTTAATTCATGGAATAGTATTTTAAGGAAAACAACTTGTTTTAAATCACATCTGATTTTAAAACCCAGCTCACTTCCGGCTACTTGGATGGGAGAAAGCACTCAGAAAATTTGATGGGAGAGGGAGCTTTCAAAACAAGAAGTGAAAACAAAACTTACATCTGGCTGTGGAATGGCATACTGTCCTTGAATGGTATAGGCCTACAAAAGGAGGAAAACAGTCCTATTAAAAACCAATCGTGGACAGCCACCCAATGGGGGGGAAAAAAAAAGACAAAGATTTCAACTAGCCAGGAAGCCAGAGAGCTGAACTGCAGGAACAGGGGAGCCAGGGATTCATTCAGGCAGTAGACAGGTATCTCCTACACATGAATGGGCCTGCAAGTTGGCCTTGCATGGACACTGAGCACGACCTGTTTATTCTGGGGAGCCTGAGGGAAAGGAACTGAGGTCCTTGCAAATATGAAGTGTATATACATCTGTTTCTTAATGGAAATGTGAGAGATGGTATAGGAAATCATGTCCTGACTGACCAACCCTCCTCCTCCTCCTCCCTGGGTACACAACATCCTTGGAGGAAGGGAAGACTTATTCCTTTTCTCAACCCCAACAACCCTGTGGTTATCCCCTCTTCTCTAGGTGACATGAATGACTTGTGTCTATGTGATGTCTTGAGTCACTACCCTGTCCCTATCCCTCTGCTTGCTCTATAGTCTTCTAAAAGAACTTTGATGCGCTGGAAAGCTAGCTGGACCCCTGAGATTGGGAACTACCCACGTGAGTACAGTAATTCTTGTACTCAAACCTTACTTTCTGCCCCCTCCCCTCCATAGTAGCCACTTGTAGCATCCACTATCCCTCTTCCCCCCCACCACCACAACCTCCCCAACAAGTTAGCTGGGCCTTTGGGGCAGTGGGGTAGGGTCAAGAAGGGAAGGAAGAGATGGGAAGTGAGGGAGGGAGATGGGAGTGGCTGGTTAAGAAGATGTTGTGAAGCATCTCAAGCTTCTGCCATCAGCTGCCAGTTCCCAAGTGCACCAAGGTAGGGGTGGGAGGAGGGTGGAGACGGGGTAGAAGGAAGCGGGGATGGGTGGGGAAAGGGGTTGAACAACAACAAAAAAAGAGTTGGTGTTACCATCTGATGGGCTACGCGGCCTGTGTGAAATGAGGTTGGGGGAGGGGGGGGTCAGTCCAGGTCCCCGTGGACAGGTGGTGTCCACAGCACAAAAATCACCAGCGCCACTGGCCCCCCTCGTGTTGGCAGTCTCGGCTGAGGCGGAAGGATTGAGTGAGCCTTGGAGACTGAACATCCCCTCTCACCTCTAGAGGTGGTCCCTCCAGGTCAGGGTTGAGGCACATGGACGGGGTGGTGTGGGGAAAGCTCGCACTGTCGCTGCCTGTGCTGTACCTGTCCTGTGGATAAATAGAGGATTTCAGTCTCCAGGGCTGTCAATCCGGCACCTTGTCACCAGCATGAAATTCACACAAAAAAAGGCGTTTAATTTTTTTTTCTTTTTTCCTTTAAAAGGAGCTCACAACATGGTCTGAAACGAGCCGCAGTGTTTTGTTTCTTTCTTTTTTTAAAAAAAGTTACCTAGTGGCAGATTTCACGCCGCGCGCTTGGGCTGTTTTTCAACAAAGGGACAGGGATGGAAGAGCTTAAGGAACCAGACCTAGGGTAGTTCCAGGGATTCTTTAGGGAGTAAAACGACCCTGGAGTCCACTCCACCACACAGGAGCAGAAGGGATACATGTCCACTTGTGGGCAGACTGGAAGCTGGTCCAAACAAAAAGGCCACTGAGAAGAATGCTCCAGGGCTGGGCCACTCACGGAAGAAGCTGCAAGCCTTTAGAGGGTGGTCAACTGAAAGGGAATTGCCAGGGAAAAAGGGAGGGGAGGAAAGAGAGGTATGAAGGGGAAGGTGGTAGGTTGGGGAACGGAAAGGAACTGAAAGCAGGACATGTAAATGGACCGCAATAGCCTGGGACTAGTGCAAGTCCCAAACCAGGATTGGAAAATCCAGGAGTAGTAACCTGGACCTCCAGTTTAGAGTAGAAAAGTCCTCAGCCTACCCCTCTTCACTGTACTGACTGGGTCTCTGCTTATCCCACCTATCTGCCCCTGTCTCTCAAAACCAGTTTTCCATGGTGGTGCATGAGTGCTAAAAGTGAGTGTACTGTGTATCTACTGAATGAACCAGAGGAATGTGATTTGCCTTCAGGGCTCTGTGAGAGTCTTTAAGATTCCAAGTCAGCCTAAACACTGTGCCAATTCTCTCAAAATGTGAATGAGATGGACCTCAGGACTATGATGTTCTGATCCCAGGCCCCTCTGGTATCCCCTTTTATATCTGGTTCCAGGTCAAATGGAAACAAGGTAGAACTGGTAAGGAGAGGTAGAAAACAGGTCATGCTCGGGGTGGAAAAAGGCTCAGCTCCATCCACTTGCCCCAGCCAGCTACCAAAGTAACAAGTTATGTTTTCAAGTTGAACCGCAATGCTCCCATACTAGCCTACCTATTATTACTTCAAATCCTAATGGAATGGCTCTTATAGGGTGCTGGCCAATTCCCCTGCGATTATCACAAGCATGGCCTGGGTTTAAACCACATCGTAGGAAGCAAACTTAAGGGAGTATTGGGGTAAAAGAGGTGCTTTGGTACCCTCAGAGGTTCTAACACAAATGAGGACAACAAGCTCCCTTCAATCCTTAGACACTGCCCTAGCTGAGTCATATACATACATATATACACCATGTGGATTCAGAACCAGTGCTTAGGGAGGTTAAGAGCCTGGGAGACAACACACTGGAGTTTGGGGGTAAGGGGATAGGAGCAGGGGAGGTGAGGTGGGGGGGGAGGGGAAGTTTGTAGGACACTCAAGTTCAGGACCCTCGGTTTGACAGACCACCGTCCAGATAATGTTCCTCAGAGGTCTAGTCCTTTAAGACCTCCAACAAGACCTCTAGATCATCCCATTTTAATCAGAATATGAATGGGGTGTGTGAGGGGAGGGAGGAGGGGAAGTGACAGATTATTTAACCCTCTCTCTGCTAACCCAGCCTCCCACTAGTTTCCCTTCTCCAAATAGAAATACCTCTTCAGAGTGCCTACAGAACTTCCAATACCTGCTGAAAATTAAAGAGGGGCTCAACATAGATCTCTCTAAGAGGAAAAAATGTTTAACTTTAATTTTTTTTTTACTCAAAAAGAAAAACAAAAACAAAAAGCAAAGGAGAGGTCATATGGTGACCTGAGTACAGCAAACATGCAGAGTGGCCTGGTGTGTCGCTGGCAAAGTTGGCAGCTGAATATAACTTGCCCACCCCGACCCAGAAATGCCCACAAAAATCCAAGTTTCTTACCTGACCACCTGCAAAGATGACTGGAGAGCTGGACGGCTTGGGCCGGTACGGGATGGTCACGCCCTTCGGGGGAGACTGGGAGAGAGTCAGAGGGGAAAAAAAACAAAAAGAGATAAGGTTTCAAAGCTGTTTCAGCTGTGTGGCTAATGCTCACACAGGTCACAATAAAAACATAGCAAATCACCCAGTCTTCTGCCTAAGTATAATCTTTAACAGTCTGAAGAACGTACAATAACACTGGGCTAAGTTCTAGCTATACAACAAGCTTGGGCATGTAACTCAAAACAAAATGGTCTCCCAAAAAGATCTTAAATTATGCTGAAAACAACTAAGTTTACTTGTGGAAAGAAAACCTGAGTATGACCTGTTTTTATTTAACAGATAAGCCAAAGATGTTCGTGCCTTTTTATGTTCTGGGCCATCTAGACCAGAAGGTTAAATAAAAACCAGAAGTTTGTTTCTGGCTTGATTATAGGTCTTGTCCACAGAGAGAGGTAGCATAGCCTGGCTGTTTTATACCTACCACTGCTTCTTAATTTCTGATATTAAACTTCCTTTTCTTTTCAATAAAACCAAATCCAATTTTATAACCTCAAACTGTTTCTTCTTCCCAACCTTTGCTGTCTATTTGGAATCAGTTCAATAGTACGGTGCCAGACTTCATTAAGTCTGGACTTTCAAAAGTTAACACCTTGTCCTGTGAGTCTAACCTAGGGCATTTCTGTCATCTACCGTGCCCAATTAATGACCTCCCTGCCTCTTTGAAGTTTAATGGGCTGAGATCACTGTCACTCAGTAGTTTCTATTTCAGAGCTCTGGACTTGATAAAGCCATAAGGAAAGAAAAATATAAATACAGGAAGTGATGCTTTCCAAATACACTCAACCTAATTCTAGCCTATCTAAATTTACTTTATGTGTTGCCCCCCCCATCCCCCAACAGCATGAGCCTGAGGGCTTACCTCCAACATGACCACGCAGATCTGTTTGACACACTCAATGATAGATTGCGGGATGCCAGCAATAGTGATGGCCCGCTCAGTTGAGTTTGGTAGCATATCCCCTGCCACCTGGACCTGAGCCCCTGTACTCTTTGGGGCAAAAAATGTAAACAAAACAAGTTAGACAAGCATATACTTCATTACCTTCTTAATGGTAAGTAGGAAGCTACAAGTCCCACTAGTGCCTTATAGCCATAAGTTATACCCTTCCCCCTTCAGCACTCCCTTCCTACTCTTCCCCCATTCCAGCTGAAATGGTATAATCCAAGCTGAAAATAAGTCAGGCTCCAGAAGCTGGGGGCTGAGTAACAGACTAAATTTAACCTGATCCCAAGAAAAGGTTCCTTCAAGACTATGCCTCCAAGCTAATGACCTACCTACTCTTTTGCCTTTCCTGGCCAGAGGGGGGAAAAAAAAACCAAGGAAGCATGGTCTCTACAGGGTTCATAGTTATTTCTCCAGAACAAGAGGTTTTTTCCCAGAAAACAGAGTAGCATTCCTCTAGGAGCCATTCAAGTTTCATTAACATTCAAACTCACCTCCCACCAGAATACGTAAGTATTTTGCTTCTATAAATCAGTAAGACAGAATTCCACCTAAAACCTAGGGCTCCTACTCCCCCATCATACAAAGGCTTGATCAAGAAACAAATTATTTCCCCAAATTTCTCTCTCACATTCTAATACCATAACTCCCTTGACTTCTAAGCTCCCAAAGACCCTCTCTTTCACAAAAGCCTAAGAATCAAACTAGTAATGGCTTTCATCCCATTAATTAACCCCAAGTAATTCTGAGTTGAAAGAGGCTCGATTTTTTATTCATCCCAGATCATGACGATTCTAAAAGCCAAAAGATCTACAAGTATACTTGAAATGGTGCTGGAATAGTTCAGGTTCCTAAAAGGTACCCAAAAAGTGCCAACCTCTCTTATTTCCTTGATCTTGCATCCTCCTTTTCCAATGAGAGAGCCACACTGGCTAGCAGGGACCACAAGCCTCAGGGTGACTGGGGGTCTACTGGCAGCTGTACTATTGGTCATAGAGCTGCTGATGTCCTGTAAGAGGAAGGAAGTAAGGTCAGGAAACTAAAGGGCAACAATCAGATCTTCGGCAGTCAAGAGGAAACAGAAACTACTAATTAGTGCTTGGCATTCCATACTAGAGCCATTAACTGTAAGGCACTTTTCTCTGAGAAATCATCTTTGAGGCAGAGAACATGCTCCATCCATTAGTGGCTTTCACTGGGCTTGTGTCCTTTTTCTCTTATGGACAGGGGCATGATTAGTTGGGGGGAGTCAGGCCAGTGGAAGAGGTCACAAATAATAAATGAAATAAGCTTTCTGGAAGAGTTTGTATTTAGACAAAGGAAAAAAAGGCAACTGAATAGTTACAAACTACCAGTATGAAAGAACTATGGACTGAGTCCCACTGTTCCAAAGTACCAAATACTATACACTATCCAACTACTACAAACTGTTATCCTATTTAACACTCAGGGAATGAAAAAATCCAAAGCATCCCCTGCTCAGCAAATGCTTTGATTTTTAAAATGGGAACACCTCTACAAATGGCTCATCTCGTCTTAAAAGGGGAGCCTTATGTTACCTTGATAGACTAGCAAATTAGGAATATAAATAGATTAGGAATATAAGACTTCCTACCAAGTAATCCATTTAGACTTTTCAAATTACATGGTCTGTACTAGAATTCAAAGTCACTGAGAGCAGACCCAAGTTCAATCTTTGGATAATAATGTGTCCCTAGGAATCAATGAACCTGATCCAGGAAGCAGCAGGAATCAGGCAGTGAAAGTTAAGAGGTCTCATGCTTGATAAAAAGAGGAAAAGACATTTTGACCTTAAAAAAAAGGGGGGGAGGGGGGAAGAATGCACACAACACTTAAGGTTTAGCAGGGTTCCTGCTGATTTAAAGGAAAAGTTTCTGACCCTGAAAAGGATAAGGTTTCAGGTACCATTAAGCACTGACCACAAGCCAAAGCAGCAGCCAGATGAAACCTTTGCCTGTGGTATCAATTGCACAATTGGTTGCAGTACAGAAGGGTGAGGAGACTGAGGACTGGGCAGCTGATACATACTTCTAATATAGACATTCATACTTTTTCTTTAGATAGTAAGAGCAAAAAATTTAATGGTAAACCATGACACATGGGGCATTGGACAGTGAGGAAAATGTGGATTCAAATCTTGCCTCAAACATTTTTAAAGATGTGTAACCCTATGTAAGTCACTAAAGCTCTGAGCCTTGGTTTCATCTCTAAATTAAGCATGTTGGACTCAATGTTCGATAAAGTTCCATCCAGCTATAAAACTAAGATCTTATTATCTCTCTTATTTTCTGCTTTTACATAAAACCAGAAAGCTCAAGAGATTACTTAGAGGACTGCTGGACTTATGCTTTATAAACATGAAGCACTGTTTGTCTTCCAATATGAAGGGAGCTAGAAGAGCTTATTTTTGGTGTGATGGCCACAACAGTATTTAAATTTAATTTTAGACCAAAGGTGTTTTGGTATTTTTGTTATTGGAGGGGGAAGGGGCTGGGTATCCATCTATGTGTTAAGAAGAATCTTCACATCCGGATTTACAGGATGATGAAAGCCTAAAAATCTAAGACACTAAAGATCCTGTTTGAATCTGTAAACACCAGGGTGACACAAATGTGTATTTTCTTTTTCTCCAAGAAAAAAAATTTAACAATGAAGGGCCCTTGGTGCAGAGTAACAGACCAACCTCTTCCAGTTTGTCAATGATCATAGCAAAAGCTTTAAAGATGGCATTGGTGGGTCCAGCCAAAGTAATTATTCTCTCAGGACAATTCCCTTCTGAGATGTTGATACGAGCACCACTCTGTCGAAAAAATGTAAATAGAAGAGATGAAAAGGTAAATGAAAGAAATCAAATACACAAAATACCTAACACAGTCCCAACCCCCAATCCCCAAATTAGATTTAAGTGTGAAGGGATAAACATTTGACTCTGGGAACAGGCAAAGCCATCATTATTCTCAAACCAATTCTGTGCTTAGCTCTCCTTCTCCAGACTACAGCAGCCATCTTAGGTGCTAGATCTAGGCTGAGATTGGCCAGAACTACATTTCCCAGCATTCCTTTCTATCACATCAGAATTTTCATTTGCTGCCAGAACAAGCTCAAGTAAACAAGCTAGTAATACCAGTTCCTAATATGTCCTATTGGGACCCTCCTCCCACCTATGCCTAATTTTTGATTCCTAGTAGGTCTTCACCTACTTTTCTAACACCCAAATCCAAGAAACTTACCTCTTCACGCATCTTCTTCACCGACTCTCCTTTCTGCAACCCAAAGAAAAGACAAAAGTAAACTCCAATTGCTTCACAACCCCAATTGGCTAAACAGTAAATAAGATGAAGTAAACCTGTCTTACCTTTCCAATAATGCTTCCAACTTCCTGTAATTAGGAAAATAATTATCAATAAAGAGAAATACTAAAGAATCTAGTAAAATGGAAATAGTCATTCTTCTGCCCAACTAATCCACTACTCTTTGGATCTCAGTTACCACAAAGCTAAACAGCAGCATTATCTTGAAGATACTAGGCAATACTAGATTCATTGGGAAGTTACAGCCACCCCAAAGCAGAACTGGGTACCTTTAAGAACAGTGAATTCTTTCTCAAAAGGCAGAAATGAGTATGGGAGGGGAGGAAAGAGGAGATGAGAGATGATTTGACAATTTAGTCTAGAGACTCTCTTGTATCCCCCTTTTAACTCTAACTCTGTAACTATATTGCCTCTTTTTTATTTCACCCTTTTCAGGTCTTTTTATCATACTTATTCAGTAAATTTAATTCAACAAATTTATCACATTTTGAGTGGAAAGCAACAGTCCTGTGATTTCATTTTTATAGTAATTCTTGGTAAAAAAGTTCCCTACCAATGCTAGCCAATGACCTATACTGAGAATTTATATGATTTTGGTATTCAGGGTTAATACAGCCCATTATTATAACCACCACAGGACTAGAACTCTGGTCTTCTCTAAGTTCACCAAACTGTTTCTCAACTAGCTCAGGAAGATTCAATATTTAGATAGCACTGATAGAAATTAGCCTAATTAGTAGTTTTGCTAAATTACCCATCAGCCTTATTCAGCATATTTACATTTATAATTGTGTGATCATAAGATATCTGTCTGCAAGTATGTATGGGGAAGAATGATTTTCCCAATACTAAAGGCTTTCAAGCAAAGGTAGAAAATGACACCTGTGGATTCAGTTTAGAGAATTTCATACTTCAAGTGGGGTTCTAGTGATATTTTTTCTTTCTTAAAGAGTGGTATTCAGAGATTCCCCAATACTGTGAAGGTCCTAGTCACTGGGCTATGGGATGGCCTCTCATTATCTTGCCTAAAAAATGTATCCAATCTTCTCTAGTAAATGTAGAGTTTGAACAGAAAGAATGCCTGCCTTTTTCCTCACCACCTCCCATTTCTTTCTACTATGGTAAGCAAGAGTGCTACAGCTAGGCATCCTGCTGTGCTAATCTCAAGAACTCCAAAATAGGCACTCCCCCACCACCACCCTGACTCCTCCCCTAACATTTACTATGACCCAATTTCCCACCAAGGAAGAAGCTGGCACATACCTTTCCATGCATAAGTAGCCGGATGGTGAGAGTGACATTTAATCCACCTTCAATCACACCGGTGTCCATGTCGAGCAGTGTTCTGGGGATTTGGACTTTGTAAAGTGGTCAAGTCTTTGGTCACTGGTGGGAGTGGAAGCCAAAAACTGGAATGGCAAACGGTAAACTAAGTTAAAATAATGAAAACTTTAGGAAAAACTTTTTTTTGTCACCTGGGCTCCTTTATCCTTGATGACAGTCTCTCCAAATTAATGCTTTTACTTCTCATCTGCTACAATTAAACAGACCATCCCTTTGAAAAAATGGCAGTATTACCTCTAAGAAGAATTTATTCATACATGAACTATGTTATGAATTTCATGGTAGCAATGGTTTTTGCATTAAGTTGATAAGAGAACTTCTGAAGACGCACCAGGTTATCCTTTAATAAAACCACAAGGTTACCCTCCAGTTACAACTTCAAATGAACCTTAGTCATGTCTCTTTCCAAACCATCTACAATCTTACTACTCTGCCTCCATAAACCTGGAAGCCCCAAGGTTTTCCCTATCTCAAATTAGCAGTTTATAAAGTCAGACTCCTTACTAGAGGCAAATTCTAGGTCAAGAAATTCGAGTTATATCCAGTATAGGAGTTCGTACTTATAATTCATACATCAACTTTTGATATGTGATAAAATTTTCACATATACTACTTGATGCTCCTAACAAGGTAGTACACTACATATTCATTTTACATTGAGGGTATGAGAGATCAGTGACTCGAAATTCTAGTGGTTTTATTAGGGCCGTGGATTTGTGGTTCTTTACAGAAAAGATTCCAGTGCTCTTTTCTAACACTACCTCTCAACCAGAGTCAACTACGAAGCAAAAATACAGTTATGTCCCACCTATTATATTCATTGATCCCCCCTCCCCCAAGTTACTGGGAATAGAGATTCACAAAATCAGATTATTTAATGTTTTCTTCTTAATTGTTCCCCACTTTTGGGGGGGAGGGAATTGTTGAGATCTTGGCACAGGTTTAGCTACAGCAATTACTTCCCAAACTATAACAACCATTTCTGCAACCTAACACAAGATGTCCCCTCATCCTTCTATTTCCCCAATGACTTTTCAAACAACACCCCCTCATCTCTCAATGACACAGACCTCAGGGACCTCTCTACCCCCTGAAAGCACCAGATTTACTACCTCTTTATCCTGCTTTAAGGAAAAAAGTAGGTCCAAACAATTTTGAAAAGATTTTAAAATTATTACTGACTTATCCTCACTCCTTTAAAGTAGCAAATTACTCCTTGGCTACCAAGAACCTTCAGAAAACTATGTAAAAGAAGGGCCTAGTAGTAATAAGCTATAGCCAAGAATCCAGATGAGCATATGAAAGGTGAAAAAAGACAAATAAAAAGATATTCATCTATCATCTGTAGAGTGGTTTCTGGCTTTTTCTTTTCTTCAAAAGTTTAAGATTTCTAACATCAACATTCACTGCCTAAATTTTATAAGACATATTTTAGAAACAAGAAATGATGATCAACAAAGTTTGAAAGGCTAAGATAAAATTCACCCAATTTTAAACCATTAGTTGGATTTTAAGGAACCCCTTTCCTGAAACTTCAATTTTGGGCGTCCTTAACCCCACCCCCTCCCTATTAACTTGGGGGAGGTAGGAGGCTGCATTTTTTTTTTAACCCCAACCCTGCCGACTTTCTTGCCACCTCAGAATGGGACGTATGAACTGATGTTAAGCATATCAATTAAATGCGCCTACCAATCTCCCATAAATATCTCGGTGGACGACTAAAATGATGATGTTAATCTCTCCTGTTTCCCAGTTAAAAAAAATATCCGATATAACCTTTTAACTGAGGGAGAGGAATGGGGTGGGGGGGTGCAGTCTACCCTTTCTCCATCGATCCTGACACTCCGTCACTTCTCATCCGGGCATTTCCCACTTTTAAAAAATTCCTCCACCACCACTATTCCCCCCCCCAAAAAAAGGGGGAAAAGAAAAAAAATAAACGGCTCGGACGGGGGAGGGCGCTGCGGTCCGGGGGGAGGGGCCGGACCAGCGGCGCCTCCTCGTGTGGCTGCGCCAGCAGCCGCCCCCCGCGGGGAGCCGCGTTCACCCGCCCGGCCAGCCGGCCATCGCCTCACCCCCGCCCCCCCGTCAACCAACAAACCCGCCGCCCCCCCCCAACCTGCCGCGCGCGCGCCCTCCCAGAGTCTTGCGCAGCCGCCGGAGAAGTGGGGGGGGTGAGAAAAGGCCTTACGCGCGGCCTAGTAGGCCGCGCCGAAGCCAGGGCCTCGCGTGAGCCGCCGAGCGGGAGGGGTGAGGGAGAAAGCGGTCACGCGGTGTTACGTGAGGCCGGGGCTCGTGACCAGGCCTAGGGCCGGCTAACAGGTAAGGGGGGGAGGGGAATAAGAAATAAAGTCAGAGGCGGAGGGGGAGTTCTGAGGCTTACCTTCGGGCGCGAGGCGACTGAAGGGAAAAGGGGGAGCGGGCGGGAAAGGGAAGGGCGGGAGGCCGGGGGCGGAACAATAGGGGCGGGCGGGAAGGCGAGGGGGCACCCACGGGCGGGCGGAGGAGGAAGGGGGGGGTGGAGGAGGAAGGGGGGAGAGCGACCCCGGGGCGGGTGGAGGGCGGCGGAGGGCGGGCGGGCGGGCGGAGGGCGGGCGGGCGGGAGAGGGCGCGGGCTGCGGCTGCTCCGGCTGCTGCCTCTGCTGGTCTGGGAGGGGGACGGGGCGGAGCGGCCCGCTTTCAACCCCGCGCACCCTCCGACCCCGGAAGCGCTAACCGCCCCGGGGGCCGGCGAGGCGACGGCAGCGCCCAAACCTCCCCCACGCACAGCGGATGGCCTCCTTCCAGCCTAGAGCGGCCCCATGTGCAGCGTCGGTATCAACGAGATGAAGGCTGATAGCAGATTAAAGTTTGAGCTAGAGCGGCACGTTGGGGGAGCGAGGAGGAAAGTCAAGTCGCGACCCCTAGTGGGCAACGAAGGGGGAAGGAAGGCACTGTTGGTGAGTGAGGCAGAAGAGCAGCTAGAACAGACAGGGATGAGAAAGAAAGGGGTGGGGGGAAAAGAGGGCAAGGGTGTCATGGGGTAGGGGGGAGTGGAGTAAAGAGGAGAGAATTACCAGGGCTAAGAGAAGGATTAGGAGAGCCAACAAATAGAGGATTCTGAATAAGCGCTGTTACAGGGACAGGGGAAACTTTTTGAATTCCCCCCCAACTCACTCTCTGTCTGTCTCTGTCTCTCTCTGTCCGTCTCTCTGTCTCTGTCTGCCTGTCTCTCTCTCTCCCTCTCTCTCTCTCTGATCAGGGTACAAGGAAATATATTGGTCAGAAGATAGTTCAGCCATTGCAGCCTTCCGTAAGGGCAACTCCAAGAGATGGTCAGATTTGATGGAGGAATCTTGAGAAGGTCTGAGCAGTGAAGGACTCAATGAATTGGAGCAGGAATAGCTGATATTTTATATAATGCATATGGTTTACAAAGCTATACAAAATATATGTTATCTCATGTAAACCTCAAATTGAGGTGGGCCCCACAGATGATTTTCATTCCCATTGTATAGAATGAGAAAACTGAGGCTCATAGAGATTAAGTGATTTGCCTGTAGTCACACTGCTCTTAGGAGTCAGAGGCAAAATACAAATCAGATCTTCCGTTTCAAGGCTCTTTCTACTATAATACTTACTTCCCCAAATATCAATGTTTGTTTCTCCAAGAGATTCAGAAAAGACACACTACCCCAGCTCCACTCAAACTGATGGGAGCCACCTAAGAAGAGATCTAGGAAGTTATCTTATTTGACTAATCATTGTGCAAGTGAAGAACCTGAAGCTCAGAAAGTGAAGTGACTTGTCCAAGGTCACCCAGGGAGTAATGTAGTAGCAGAGCCCAGGTCCTCTGGCTCTAAAGATGGTTGGTACATGACACTGAGTTTACTCCCTATCTAGAACCCTGAGGCTCATCTATGCAATCTGTCCTGACTGCATAAATCGATATATCCATCTTCTACCTGCTCTATGTAGTCATCTAAGTCCCTTTTCATTTACGCTCTATAAAAACATTTGTTCCCCTAACCTCTCTCATCCACTCTAATCTCAAACACTCTCCCCCTGTCAACCCTGATATGCTCTTGGACATAACCTTTCCCCAACCCCTCTCTACCTCCACAGATCCTTTCCACTGGCTTTTAGATGACCAGTCAACAATTCCTCCTCATCTTCTAGCTCTCCATTTGCCACTGCTTCAGCCTCCCAGCACTAATTACAGTTACAAAGAAAGTATTTTTTTTAAGCCTTAAGCATCATAAAAATATTAATTATTATTAACAAACAAGCTATTAACCTGTTTCCCTTGAGCACAACTCATTACTATCCTTTCTCTATAATGCTTCTGCTCTCTAATATATACGATGTTACCTGCTAGACACGTCCAGGTCCTTGTTCTGCCACCGTAACTTAACAAATTTATGCCACAAATTAAAATACACTCTCTGAGCCTTATCACTGCCATTGAGTGACCTCCAGGACTGCCTCTCCCACCTTCCTTGAGTTTAGCATTCTTTTAGTCTCTCCTACTAGTCCCTTGGAGTCCTCAGTATTGTTTGGTGACCCTTCTAACACTGGCCTCTCACTAAGGTCCTCACCACCTGGAGACTTCTATCTGCATCCTACTTGTGCCACCCAGAGAGATGGTCATATGTAGACCACATCATCTGCACAGCCTCCAAGATCTTGAATTCTGACCTCAGTTCCCAAACGGTTTCCTGGTGTCACTTTAACGTCCCCAACTTCATCCCTGTTCTGACTTCACTTCCTTCCCTCAAATGGTTATTCTCAGTCCTTATCCTCCTTGACTTGCCCCTTCCCGTAATTTGCCTGTTTGTGTTGCAGATTCCACCAACCTCCCAGGCCTCCAAGCTCAAAACCCAAGTGTCATCTTTGACTCACCACTCTTTCTCATCCATCACATCTACTCTGTTTGTTTTCCTATTTCCAAGTATCATGTTTGCTATCTCCACATGCCTCAGGGCTACCTCAAATTCAACAGGTTCAAATACTCATACTGTCTTCAAAAACCTGTCCCTTAATTTTCTAGTTTCTGTTACTGACACTACCATTCTTAGTCCCCGGGGCTCAAAATCTCACTGTCATCCATGACTCTCCCCTCTCCCTCCTCTCTGATCCTCAACAATCAATCAGCTCCTGTCCTTTTTCTCAGAAATCTCTTTAAAATCTGTCTCTTCCTTTCCACTCTCACTGCCACTATATAGTTCAGGCTTTTATGGCCTCTTGTTGCACTGTCGTATAAAACTGCAAAAGCCTCTTAAATGGCCTCCCTGCCTCCAGTCTCTCCCCTCCCCAGTCCCATCTCGCTGTTGCCAAATTCATCTTCCTGATGTGCAAGTCAGATGATGTCAGTTCCCCACTCAAAATGTATCATATAATTCTCCATTATAGAATTACAGAATCTTCTTCAGAATCATCTCACCTAATCCACCCCCAAGCCAGATAGGAATCCTCTTTATAACACCCATGACAAGTGGTCCTGTAGCTTCTGCTCAAAGACCACTAGTGATGGGAAACTCATTACCTCTTTAGTCAGTCCACTCCACTTTAGGGTGGCACTGACTGTTAGGCAGTTCTTCATTAAACTGAGCTAAAACAGCATCCCTTGCCACTTGCATCCACGGCTCCTAGCTCTGCCCACTGGAGCAGAACAAGTAGAAGGAGTCTTGACTCCTCCTCCATATACAGCTCTTCTAATACCTAAACACATCTATCCAGTCTTCTCCCAACTCAAGAGCTGTACATTTGATACCTATGCTATCTATATCTTCATTCAAGTCGCTGATTAAAAAGGATAAGCAGCACAAAACTAATGACAGATCTCTGGGGTGTTCATGAAAAACCTCTCTGTAGGTTGATAGCTATCCATTAATATAGAAATCAGTAATTCTATGGCATAGTTTCCAGGCCTTTCATCATCCTCATGACCTTACTTTGGAATTGCTCCAGGTTCCTTTCCTAAATGTGACCCTCAGATTGGACTACAATACTCCAGATGCAGTCTGACGAGGCAAGAGCCTAGTAGGAATATCACCTCCCTTGTTCTGGCTACTGTACTTGTAGTACTGTACTTGATGTAACCTAATATATAAGCTTTTTTGGTTGTTGAATCATATTAAGTTTGTAGTTCACTAAAACCTCCATATCTTTTTTCTGTCAACTTATAGTCCAAAAATTCTGTGCTCCACCGTCCATCTTGTGATTGATTGATTTTGTAGAATGTAGAATTTGCATTTATCCCTTTTGAATTTCAATTTATTAGACTTGGTTCATCATCATTCTAGCCTGTAGAGGTATTTTGTGCTATATATTATGTCAGCTATCCCCCTAGCTTTATACTATCCAAAAATCTGTTAAACACGTCACTCACGCTTTCACTCAAGTCACTGATAAAAATGTCAACAACATAGGGCCAACGAGAGATCTCCGGCTTACTCCATGAAAGAGTTCTCCTCTTCGGATCACAGTCTTAAAGCTGAGAGGAGCCTGAGAACTCTGCTCATTCATTTTACAAATATGGAAACTGAGACTTGGGGAGAAATTAAATGACTTGTTTGAGATCAATCCATTCCTCTGACTCCAAATTTAGCCCTCTTTCCACTGTAGACAGCTGTATGACATCAATCCATTAATCACTACACTTTGTATCTTGTCATTTAACCAGTTCTGAACCATCTAATTCTCCTATCACCTAATTCACATCTCTCCACCTTGTTCATAAGACACTGAAATAAAGTAATGGATGGAAAGTGGACTTGTCAACCAGAAAGAGCCATATATAAACCTCGGGTGGTATTATTATTGCATAAACTACATGATTCTTATCCTGCCCAGGCCCATCCATGTTCTAGCTCCAACCTACCTTTCTTGTGCCATTCTCCTTCAGGAATTCTATGCCGGAGCAACCAAAACTCAAACAAACTTCTAGTGGTTTCCCCTCTGGCCCCATCTCATCCCACCTCCGTAAATTTACACGTGCCCGGGCTTTGCTTGGAAGAGATTCCCCTTCCCCCATGCCAACCTTCTGAAAGCCCTTTGCTCAATCTAGGCCCAATTCTGCCTTCTCTTCCACGAAGGCTTCTTTAATCCCCCCAGGAGTGATATCTCCCCTGCCCCCATCTGTGCTCATGCCACTCCCTTTCTGACCTCTCCTACGCAATTAATCAATCATTCTGTACTTGTTGGTAGTCATTGGTGTATGTCTCAAACTCTTCCTCCAATGGGATTTTAAGCTTCTGAAGGAATGACACAATGGGAGAATTCTAGAGTGCATCTTTGTAATCCCCATATCTAGGATATGCCTTCTACTAGTGTTGAATAAAAGTATGAAACTGAAACTCACCAAATTTTGGTGAAATAATTAAATTCCTCCCAATAAATTTTACTTCCTAGACCAACAATGATAAAGCTTCAATCTTGACCCTGGGAATGGGGGGGAGGGGGTGTAATAGTTAAAAATTGCTCCGAGGAAAGGGATGAAATTTAAATTGAACAAATGAGCGATTTTACCCAAGGCTATCTTGACAGGAGCAAAGCAAACTGATAAGGAACATATTCCCCATTTCCCCATTGGCCCAAAGATAAACTGTCTACTCTTCAAGTCTCACAAATACCTTCCTAAACTTACCATTTCCCAACAGAGTGGAAATCTTAGAACACTGTCTTTGGTAGGGAGAGACCAAAGTCAGAGGAATCAGAAGCCTGAGGAAGAGTAAGTTGGTGGCATAATTAAAGTAGAGCACTGGAAGACCATGGAAAGAGAACCAAGGCTCTCTGTTTATAGTCGGTAACACTGCAGTGCTCTCCCTAGTAAGGGAAAATCATCTTAGGCAACATGGACTGAGGAGACAGGGAAAGGTAGTAGGGGGCGGGTGAGGGCAGCATCTCTGGATCTTGTGTTTCTTTTAGACTTCTTTTATGTCCTTCTTCCTTGCTATTCCCTCTCTTGTTTCTCTCACGTGACACACTGCTTAATCTCTATCTCCGGCTCTGTTCCTCTCAATCTGGGCATTTCTCTCTGTGCTCTCCATATCTCCCTATTACTGTGTCCATCTTGTCTCTGGAAAGGAAGAGGTCTGCAGAGGAGGAAATGAGATCATAGAAAATTTGAGAGAGGAAAACTATTAGAAAAGCAAAAAACCCAGCCATGACACCTAAAAAGAGGACTCAGGCCTTGGAAATCAAAAGAAATCTACACAACATCATATTCTAATTATGTCACAATTGGCCTAGGAATAAAGGAATATCTACAACGCTCTGCCAGGATGCATCTTTGTGCAAGCCATTCTCTGTGATCTGGCAGACACCAGTTCTCATGCTATATTCCGTTGATCTAACCTCTGTTCTATGGGCTCAAAAGTAACAGGGTTCTCTTCTTGTTGCTAAGATATCACCAGGTAACTAGCTCTCTCTCTCTCCCAGATGGGCCTCATTCTGATACTATCGCTCCTATTCACTCAATTTTGTCCCCCCAACAGAACACAAGCACCAAACGCAGAGACTTTTTTGTTTAGGACCCACCCTAACTATTGTTGATAATCAAAGTTGGTTGAACTTCATTGAATTAATCCAAACCTTCAATAAACAGTTATTCAGCACCTACTATATGAGAGATGTTGGGCTAGGTGCTAGAAGAAATGTAAGACAAGACAGACTTCATGAAGAGCTTACACTATAATAGGAAGGAAAATCACAAATACATATATGCCTACACTGCAATGGAGGGAAAGTGAAGGAGGTATAGGAAATTTAAGATTGGAGAGATTTCTTTACTGCTCCCTCCTCTGTACTGCCCCTCTACCCCCACCGCCTGCCTCTGTAAATCACAGGCTTCACAGTGATGTCAGCTGAAGTCATAAGATCATGGACTTAGAGGTCATCTAGGTAGCCTACTCCCTTATTCAGTAACCTGCAGTGCTCCCATCCCGGACTTCCAACCCCACCCCCACATCCTGTTTCTCTATTTCAGCTAGGCAAACCTGTCCCTTCTGCCACAAACATTGCATCCTCTCTGAAACGTGAGCCTTTACATTGAGGTGTTCTCACCTGGGATGCTACCTTCTGTGCTTCCACTTTGCATGCTTAATCCAGGACTTCTCTCCACCTAGAGGCATGCAAAATATGCATCCCATCCTCCTAAAGCCTTCTCTATCACATGATATATTAAGCTGTCCAGTAGTTGCCTTAGGTCTCTCCTTTTTTTGTTGGTTGCTATGTCTGGGCCTGTATTCTGACCTTTCCATTAGCTTAGGAGGCTGTCCAGGGACTGCAACTATCTCCTCCTCCATTGGGCTCTACACTCTCAGACACCCAGGACACAGCTTACGAGGAACACACCAGCAGGCCAGATGTACTCAGGCTTATTTCTTTATGGAGAGAACAGTACTAATTGACAGATTTTCACAGTCCAAGAAAAGTCAGTTTGAAGGGTCCAGTATGGATTAAAGAAAAGGGGGCTGAGTGTCTTCAACAAAGAGAATATCAGATTTCCTTTTTTGGAACAAAAGAGGCCATTACCATATCCATTTTTGCCTCCAAATATACCTCTGCTTTGCTATCCTACCATACTTACCCCTATTCCTTCAGAACAGCTTCATCAGCAAAGAGGACTCAACTTAGCCTGCATCAGTCCTGGAGGGGGAAGGTAGTTCATGATTGTCCATTCAGGAAACAAACATGGTGACCATAAGGTACCCTCCTCACTCATGCTCAGCTCCGTAGGCTAGGTTATTACTCCTTAAGAAAGGGTTGTAGAAGGGGGCAGCTAGGTGGCGCAGTGGATAGAGCTCAGGCCTTGAAGTCAGAAGGACCTGAGTTCAAATTCAGCCTTAGACACTTGACACTTACTAGCCGTGTGACCCTGGGCAAGTCACTTACCCCAACTGCCTCACCCAAAAAAAATAAAATAAAAAAAAGAAAGGGTTGTAGAAAGGGGCAATAAAAACAATAGAACTTGCTGGAAACAGCCCAAGATATTAGCACAGATGAATGGAGACTGGGATAAACAGCTTTATTGGGAAGCACAGTGAGAGAAACAGAGGAAGACCCAAGAATGATTGGGATGAAAAGAGCTCACCAAGAAATAAGGTTCCAAAATGGCACCCACATTATCCTATTCAAAAGAACTCTCTTTCCCAGAAGGCAATGGGCTGAGTAGAAAGCAGAGTCTGCTGGGAAATGTAGTTCCCACATCCCATTATCATAAGATTACCATGGTAATGCCACACCCCCCTTCTTCCCCTTCTCCCACACAAATTACAAAATAAATTTTTTAAAATCACATTTTTCCAGATCCTAAAATGTTCTTCAGCATTTGGCTCAAAGGACATACATCTTCAGAAAGGAGTGCCCCCAATGATTCAATCTAGTAGGTAAAAAAATGGACTTCCTCAGGCCAATAGGGATCCTTTCCTCACCTTCACCAACCAATTTGGGCAAAGGGGTGAATGAGGTTGGGGCTGCAAGGCTATCTTCCCCCAGCACAATATGGTGTCCAAGGCTTGATGGGAGAGCTGGGGTGGTGTGACTTGGGGGGAGGAGGGCCCAGGATTCAGTCAGAGTCACTGCTGGAAGAGGAGGAGGAGGAAGAATGCTGCGAGGGGAATGGGAAAGTGGAGAGGAGAGATTATCAGACTTTGAACTCTGACCCCATGAAGTCCCACCCCATTCCCCATCTATCTAGTATGTACCCTCCCATACAAGGTGCACCTAAGGCCAATAACTCACACATGGAACGTCACCAATACACTGAAAATAAGTTTCTCCCTCTGGAATTAATGCTACAACAGTAGTTTAAACCAACCCACATTACTGCAGGGACTTTTCATTAATTTCATTTGGAACAAGATACCTCCTTCCCTTTCTCAATCAAGGGGTTTCATGTATGGAGAAGCCTCTTTGAGGAAAGCATAGTTCAGTGTTGTAAAAGCAGAAGTCAATTGGCAAATAAATGTTTGTTGAGTAACTGAAGCAATGAATAGCCTCCAGCACCTTTAGTACAGACAATCCACATAAATGAAAATGACCCTTACTCTTACTCAAAGTAACTTTGATCTAGGCAAAAGTACTGGGGTATAAAAAGAATACACAAATTAAGTACCTTCCAAACTTTATAATACTATAAAAACGTGACTTAATATCTAATCCAGATTGCCTACATGCATAGCAACGGTAAACATTTATTTTCCAACATTGGCTGTTCTTGAGTTATTCTCAAGTGGTTTCCACTTTTCCCTTTCTGCAGGATCCCCACTATCACTGAAATGAAGGGAATTTAGACATGCCCCAATCGAATCACCTCCCTCCTTCTCTTTTTCCCTGTCCCAGGTTGGTTTAAGCCCTCTGTATGGTCATGCGACCTGCTCCAACCCATGCTAAGGAACGCTGTACTTGAATGATCACTGCCCCCAAGGTTAGAGATCAGAAATCCTGGATTCCCAGATTGCCCTGGCCTGGCTGCCTGATGTCAGAATAGCATTCAACCTCAATTTCCAAGGCCCATTATTGCTATTATCTAATAACAATTGATGTGTCTGTTAGGTTTTAAGGTACATAAAGTACTTTCCATTCTGTATCTCATTTGAGTCTCAAAACACTATGAGGTAAGTGCAGTAGCTATTTTTAATCCCATTTTGCAGATAAGGAAACTGAGGCACAGAGAGGTTAAAGAACTTCCCCACAGCTACGTAGCCAGTAAGCAACCAAGGCAAGATTCAAGCTTTGGTTTCTCCAAGCTCCAATTCTAGCTAACTTTCTTTAGACTATACTAGAATAACTAAGGTGAAGGAGAGAGAGGAGATAGGAGCCTGGTCCCAAGTATTCCCTTACAGAGTCAAAGGACAAAACTAATTAATCCATAGGCTTGGTGGTCATAACCTTTTCCAAGATTCCCAAGTCCTTTCATATGTATGCATACATAGATATAGATCTATGCCTCAGCACTCTGGGTGGGGGTGAATGGATCACTTATCCTGTACAGCTAGAAACAACTAAAGCCCAGATAATCTGAGTCATCTGCCAAAGGTTATCCTTCAACTCAAGAGTTTAGAGCTGAAAGGAAGCAACTTTAGTGATTATCTGTGCCAACTACTTTATTTTCCTCTAGAAACTGAGATTTAAAGGGGTGAGGGGACTTGCTCTGAGTTAGGGAAATATTAAGAGGCAGAATACAACCCAGTTTCTATTTCTGGGTTCTAAGGCCAGCATGCTCTCTCCACTAGTCTATGCTCACAGCATGGATGGATGGCAACAGAAAAGGCAAATGCAGACTGGCATAGCCATCTGAATGTCCCAAATTCCCCTGCTCCCCATCCCAACCCCAGCAGGGCTACCAGAGAAACTGACCTTGCCATGTTTGTGATGTTTATGCGCTTTCTTATGAGCCTTCTTCATCTTCTTCCTCATCTTCTTATCCATCACAATACCTGGCCCCATGACCCCTGGGGCCAAGGGATTCACAGAAGGCACACAAGGGCCAGGAGGTGGGTAGTGACCCGGAGGTGGGCAGGGACCTGGGGGTGGGCAGCCTGGGTATCCTGGCTGCTGCCCAGGGCCAAAAGCATTACCAGGAGGATAAGCTGGATTCCCTGGGAAACACCCAGGTGGGGAAGGAAAGGTACCTGGAGGGTATGCAGGATTGACTGATGGTGGGTTGATGGGGTTGGTAACCCCAGGGCACCCAGAAGTTGAAGGGGGCATAGGACCCCCAGAAGGGTACATCCCTGGCCGCCCTGGATGGGGACAGAAGCAAAGAATAAAATATCAGCAAGGTCTAGCCTCTCTTACAACCGAAACAGGTGGTGAAGAAGGGACTCTGGTACCTTTATTGCCCCCTCTTCCTTCAGGCAGTAGGGAGGTTAGGAAAAAGGAGGAAATATAGAGGGAAAAGAGGATATCCCAGGTGGGATGGAAGAGGTGGAGGGGGAAAAAGTTAGGGGGAAGGGGAAATTAACTGAGCTCAAGAGGAAAGTCTTGTGTGTTGGGGAACAAAAGGGAAAAGGGAGGTCAAGTTAAGTTTTTGCCTTAACTGGGAACTTTGCTTCATGAGGGGGAGAAAATGGGCATAAGAAAACCACATCTCCCCACCTCTGTGGAGCCCTTCTAAATTAAGGGTAGGAGAGAGATGGGGGCACAGCACACCCTCCGAGGCGCTTACCTGCATTGGGGTCCCACATCCTCCACTGTTCTGTTCCCTACAGGGAAAGAAGGGACAAGGAAGAAAAAAGTTGAAGGTCAGAAAGGGGAAGGAAGAGGTGGCACAAGCCTCCCCCACCCCAGCTGTCTGGGGCTGATCCCCCGCCCCCTCAACTCCATGGGGACCCTTCTCTGCTCACTTAAGACCCTATCAGCTCCTGCCTCTCAAATGGGGAGGGGGATTCCTCCAACCTTTCTCCCCTCCCCGCCCCCATCTCTGGGCACAGCTTGAAGACGAGCTAAGCAGGGTAAAGCCCAGGTATTCGGGGGGTCCCCAATCCTCCACTCCGCACTCTCTTTCCTTGGGCTGGGAGAGGAGGGACCCCGGGTGGGAGGGATGAGGGGACAGGCAAAGGAGGAGATCAGAGCATGTCCAAGCGTATCTTTGTGCTTAGAAGAGAGAGGGGGGTCTGAGAAGGAAACCGAGGGGACCTGTCCCCAGTCCCACGCCCAAGAAAGGAAAGGGAAAAGCCTCTCGTCCAAGCACCCCAGCGGGGTGGGGAAAGAGGGACAAGGATTTCCAAGCACTGAAAGACACTCTTCCAACCCGCCCCGCCCCACTGCAAGGGAGACTCAGAGGTACGTGCCCCAGGGCACGGGGGGGTTCCTCGCCCGGGGAGGGAAAGGGAAAGAGGAACCAGACGACCCCATCACCTCTTCCCTTCCGCAGGAGCCAGAGTCCTCTCTCGTCCTCCCCCCACCTCCCAGCGCCTGCTTCCTGGTCCCCACCTCCCTCCGCTGGCTCCGCCTCCGCTGCGGCCTGATTTGCCGCTCTGCCGGGCTCTCGCCTTGTTATTGGAGAGACCACCCATCGATCTCCGGGGGGGGTGCCAGACCCTGGGAAAAGGTCGCTGGAGGGGGCTGTGTCAGCCTGGGGTCTCTCTTCCTGGGGGCGGGGCCAGGGCCCCACCCACCCAAGCCCCGCCCATAACTTTTCCCGAGGACAGGGCAGGCGGGGCCAAGGCGGAGCGGGGGTGGGGAGGGGCGGGGGCGGTGTGTGTGCTGGTCTGGGCTGCGAGACCTCGAGGGCCGAAGCTTCTCCCGGGCCAGAAATCTCGAGATTCCCGCCCTTCCCTTTAACTCGCCCGATGAGGGCACTGAGTCCCGGCAAGAAGCACTAATTAAGCGCCTACTATGCGGCAGGAATATTGTTAAGCGCTGGGCGTACCAAGAACGGCTGCCCTTTGCTCCAGGATCCCCCAGCGCGGTGGGGGAGACAGCGTGCAAAGAGCCGCGCACATGCGCGATGTCAACGGGCCCAAATGGGAGGGGTCCCCGAGTACCACGAGCATCCCTGCGAGGAAGCCAGGGAAGCCGGGGCCCCGAGGTCCGAGGGCGGAAAGGATCCCGGGCATGGCACGGCCCACCGGAGAGAAGTGACCGAGCCCCATCGTAAAAAGGGAATTCACACCCAGGCCCTTCAGCTCAGAAACCTCCGGATCTCCCACCCCCAGGACTGCACAGGCGAAGGACACTTTTTTTTTGTCCTTCCACTAATAATAGTATTTTTCCCTTTTTTAAAAATATGAACTTAGGGGCAGACCTGAGTTCAAATGTGACCTCAGATAGGTGACACTTACTAGCTGTGTGACCCTGGGCAAGTCATTTAACCCCGATTGCCTCACCAAAAAGCAAAAAAACAAACAAAAAAAATGAACTTAGCAAACACCAAATAAAATAGTTACTTCCTGATACTGTCCCAAGGCATTCATCTCCACCAATAAGGAGAGGGTCCCATGCCTATGGCCTTGGGACGGGTGTTACCACAGAAATCCTGCGTGGAATTGTAGGTTCCATATACCGCTTGCTTTTCCTTTTAAATATGTGCTAAGTTCACCCTGTAAGCAAAGCAAAATGTAAAATGACTACTCAGCAAAATTCCCTGCGTTCAGATGAGGTTTTTAAGTAGTAACCTCCTGGGAAGCGTAACAGAAGTTATTACTGCCCTTTTGAAGTTGTCATTGTGTACATATGAATGTTTTGGGTTTAGCATTTCTTCTGTGTGTAGGAAATAAACACTTGTAGAGTGTACACCGAATACTTTTTTACTCTCCCCGGTAAGGAGACCTTAGAAATGAACCAAACCTAAGTTATAAATAAATTGTCCCTGGAGCACCAGGGTAGGGGCGTAATGAGCTGAAGGGTATGAGAACAGAGACCCTAACCCTTCTAGACTCCAGACTCCCCCAAGGCCTGAACTCCACTGAAGCCTGTACATGGGTCCAGAGCAGATGAGCCCCCCCTTACAAAAAGGGAGAGGGTCAAGTGTCCTAGTCTTTTGGGTCCAGCAGCGGGTTCTGTCTTGTTAAAATAAATTTGTAGACCAGAACTGGAAGGGACCTTAGAAGCCATCTAAGATGGCCTCTAATATAATAACATATGGGCCTAATGTAATAATATATAGGCCATCTAAGATGGCCTCTAATATAATAACATATAGTATAATAATATATAGGCCATCTAAGGTGGCCTGTATATGATGATGATGATGATGATGATGATGATGATGATAATAATGGGATTTATTATGCTTTAAGGTTTACAAAGCCCTTTACATACATTGTCTGCTTTGATCCTCATAATAACCCTAGAAGGTAAAGATGTTATTCTTATCCCCATTTTACAGATGAGAAAAGTTCTCCAGAATCGCACAGTCAGGATTTGTGGCAAAATTTGAACTCACGTCTTCTTAGCTACAAATACAGTGTTCTAATCCATTGTGCTACCTAGCTACCCCCTCTGAATTTTACAGATAAGGAGACTAGAGGTCAGGAAAGAGATGAATGCTGGATATGTAAATTTGGGCATCATTCTCAGAGAGATAAAAGCGAAGCTCAGGGGAGACAATGAGATTAAAAAGAAAAAAAGGTAGAGAAGAGTGTCCAGGAGAGAGCTTTTGTTTCCTGATAATGTCCCGAGGCATTCCTCTCCGCCAATAAGGAGAGGGTCCCATGCCAATGGCCTTGGGACAGGTGTTACCACAGAAATCCTGCATGGAATTGTAGGTTCCATGGATTGCTTGCTTTTCGTTTTAAATATATTTGGGTATTCCTATACATAGAGGATGGGGCATGAATGGTGATCTCACAAAAGACGATGAGAAGGGGCAGCCAGACAGGTAAGAGAAAAAGAAGTTAGCTTTGTTTAAAAAAAAAAATTCAAGGAGAAAAGCATATTCAGGAGGAGTAAATAGTGTCATATGCTGGCAGGAAAGTCAAGGAAAATGAGGAGAGAAGAAAAGACCTCAGATTTAGTAAGGAGATGTTTGGTGACCTTGGAGAGAGTAATTTTAGTTGATTGGTGTGTTTCAAAGACAGATTACAAAGGGTTTCTAAGTAACTGGGAGATGAGAAAGTTGAGGCAAAAAGTGTAGACAGCTTCTTTCTAGGCGTTTGGCTGTGAATGGGAAAAAGAATGTAAGATGTTAGCTGGAGGATATGGTAGGATCGAGGGGAGGTTTTTTATTTTTATTCGTTTTTTTTAAGGATGCAGGTGATCTGGGCTTATTTATAAGCAACAGGGAAAAAAACCAATGGATTAAAATAAATAGAACCTTTGGGAGACGAAGGAGAAAATGGTAGGGGAAGTCTACTGGCAGAAATGAGAAGGGATAAATAGATGGATTGACACTGGCAAGCAGAAAGGCCCCTATTTCCTCTGAAACAGGAGCAAAGGAGAAAATAGGGGATGAAGTCCAGCTGATTCACAAGTACAATGGAAGAAAAGGGATTCTCATGACCAAAGGCAGTAGTATAGGTGGCTTGAAAGAAGAAGAGGTTTGGAAGAAACACTGTGGGGAGTTTGACGGAGAGTCAATTGGGAAAGAGTAAACAGATTGGTGTGCACCAGGGAGGCCCACTTGAGATTAGATGGCCTAAATTTGTAGTATATCCATTCAATAGGGTGGGAGGACTTCCACTCTGTTCAGCAGCTTGTAGGTAGGAGTGGAGAAGGCAGGTGGTGGGAGTAATCCAAGGTTCTGGTCTAGAAAGGCACAAAACATATATCACCAGGACAAGAGGGTAAGTGTGATATTGAACTGATTAACTATGGTCAAGATTTTGAAGGGAGGAAAGTAAGACCAGAGGAGGAATAATGGCCTGGGAAATACAGGGTAGGAATGAGGGAGGATAGGAAGGGGAAGGATTGGAGTACCTGGAGATTTTGTCTTGAAGGTGGAGAATGGGTTTAGGAAAGATGAGGCACAAGGAGAAATGGCCAGATGTGAGGTTATAATGACACAGAGGAATTTCAGAGTTATACATTGAGAAGGTATAATTCATCTCAATCCAATTCTTTTAAAAAATTTATTTTCAAATTTTTAATGTAAACTCCCCCAAAGAAAATTTCCATACATATAACACATTACACATAGCATTTTCATACACCCAAAAAGAAGATTCTATATGAAGCAGAATCATTTCATACAGCTTGCTTTTTAAAAAAATATATATGGTAATAAATATATTATTTTCAAAACTGCCCCGCTTGTGTATGCTTTCTTCTGAACTTCCTTCTTTGCATTAAAAAAAATGGTATGATGGCCTCCTTTTAGGGAGGTATCACTTTTGCTAACTCCTCTTTTCTCTATACCCCCCAATTAACCAAGAGAAAAAAAGGAAGGGAAGTGTTGTAACAAATAAGCATAATCAAACAAAAGGAATATATTCAGTGCCACTCTAAAAATACATGACTCTGTACCTTTCGTCCATCATTTCTCCAATTATACAAGCAGTTATTATCATTGATCAACACCAATTAATTATAGTTAGTTATAGTGTTAACCATTAAATATTAATTAATTGTTAAGTACCTTCTATGGGCCATGGATCATTTATGGGTGATGATTAAATCAAGAATAACAGTATCCTGGTGTATGGTGGAGCTGAAGAGAAAGTAGAGGTAGTGGGAGTTGAGAAGGTTGATAAATCTCCTGGGGAGTCAGGGGACTTGAGGGGACATTGACCTATCCTTTACTACCAAGATATTAATAGCAGCACTTTTTGTGGTAGCAAAGAACTGCAAACAAAGTAGACTGAGAAATAATTAAGCAAATTTTTATACATGAATGTAACAGAATTACAACGTTCTGTAAAAAACAATGGATATAATGAATACTGAGAAGCATGGGTAGATATATGAACTGATGCAAAATGGAGTAAGAAAGACCAGAAAACAATATAGGATGACTTCGACAGTGGAAATGAAAAGAATCACAGCCACAAAACAACTGAAAATGAATATTGCAAAACTACAAAGAACAGGCTTTCCATTTTGAGGAAGAACCCAAACCAGCCATTCTCCTTTCTCTGGACTTGACCACCATGACTCGGCAGCCTCACCCCTGTAGGTTCCTTCTCCCATTGATAAGTTCTCCCCAGAACTTCTCTTTGGGGGAAGAGCCTAGACCAGTCATTCTTCATTCTTGGAACTTCCTTACCATATTCCCCCACCTTTTCAGTTCTCCTTTTGGGTGTTAGTATGGAAATTCTTGAGGGCAGTGATTGTCCTACTTTTTGCTTATATTTGTGTCCCCAATACTTAGCAGAGGGCTTGCATAGTAAGTGCTTAATAAATGCTTAATAAAAAAACACATTTCCTCCCTCATTCTTTTGCAGAGACAGGAGGTCCATGAGTGTTGCACGTTGCTTATATTGTCAGATTTTTTTCATGTGTTGGTCAATTTTGCAGATTATTTTTCCCCAATTTTTTTCTTTGTTACA